GATATGGCAACAGTATTCTATACAAGGCCGGATTTTAAATTTATAGAGAAAGAGAATAGAATCCAGAGTAAGAAAGTGACGAGCTCGATAAAGAGAACCAACTTTAGCAGATGCTAATTTTGCAACGGCTTTGATATAAGATTTCCAAGAAAGATCAGAAGTTAGAGCTAATCCTAGAAGATGAAAGGTAGGAGACTCATCGAATACATTACCGTTCATAAATATAGGAAGATCTTCACAATTGCGAAAACAATTAGCTGAAAAAAATTGAGTTTTATCTGAATTGAAGTTCCCCTGCCACTGTGAGCCCCATGCTGTAGCAGAAATGAGATCCTTTTCAAGCTCAAATGTCCCCTGCAAGCAATCAGAGGAAGTTGGCTTCCTATCATGACAAGAATAAATGGTAGCGTCATTAGCGAACAATGCCACCTTAGATGTGAGAATATCTGGAAGATCTTTAATGTAAATTAAAAAGAGTAAATGGCCAAGAATTGAACCTTAGGAAACCCCTGAGGTTACAGAATAAGAAGAAGAGTGCTGTCCATCAAGAACAACTTTTATACTACGATTGGAAAGGAAAGATTCAATAATCTTAAAGATGTTTGCAAATACACCGTAAGAAGAAAGCTTATGGAGAAGACCAGCATGCCAAACTTTATCAAACGCTTTAGAAATGTCAAGAGCGATGGCTTTAACCTATCCAAATTTATCTAATGCGCGATAAAACCTATCGGTTATTTCTGATAGCAAATCAGCCGTAGAACGAGAAGATCGAAATCCATATTAATGATCAGAAAGTAGAATAATGAGATTCGAGATTCGAGATTAAGTTTTTGTAAATTGAAAATTCAAAAACCTTGCTTATGATAGAAAGAAGACTAATGGGACGGTAGTTAGACGAATCAGATCGCTCTCCAGAATTTTTAAAAATAGGGATAACAGATGCTGTTTTCCAGCAGGCTGGAAAACAAGACTCTAATAAGCACTTGTTAAATAGTTTTGAAAGGAGAGACGACTGCTCTGGAGAACACTTCTGCAAGACTATAACAGGTATGTTGTCCTGACCACAATCTGTAGAAGGGGCCGGGCCGCAAGCTGTAGAAGAGTTTAAGCAGGAAATGACTTTAAATACAGAAGCTATAGTGATACGGATGTCGAGCAATGGATCATCCTGTTTGACAGCTTGATCAGGTAGAACGCAACGAGTAGAATCAAGAGATGATATTAATAAAAAGTTCTTGGTATACAATTCAGCTTTGTCTTTAGGTGAGGTGACAAAGTCTGAACCATACAAAAGAGGTGGAATTACAGACTTGCCCTTATTATTGATACTATTAAAGATTCTCCAGAAGTCACGAGAGCCTAATTTTAGTGATGAAATACGAGATTTCATGATCTGAGAATAGCGGGCTTTGGCGTTAGACAAAACGTTTTTACAATGGTTCCTAGCAGCAATAGACAGACGTCTGTTTTCTGGAGAACTGTTTTGCTGATAGATATGAAAGTAATGATATCGATTGGCAGTTGCAGCAGCACACGGAGAAGAGTGAGGCTTGACCTGGAATTGTCGAGAGGGGATAAAGTATTCCATGCCAGCCTAAGTCCACGAAGTTAGGTTAGAAGCACATTTGTCAACAGGAGGACGAAACATTTCTACCCAGGGGCCATCACGAAGAAAGTCACGGAAAGAGTCCCAGTCAGCTTTTAGATAGTTGTAAGATGTACGATGATAGGGGGATTCTAATAGTAAAGAAAAAAGAAATAATAGTTTTAGAGAAACCAAACCATTATCAGAAGCACCTAAGGGTGATTGTGGAGAAACTGAACACTGACTAGGATCAGAAACAAAAAGTAAGTCGAGTAGAGAATGTAAATGATTCTGGTTGTCTGGAAAGTGAGTTGGAAAGTTGACTATTTGAGTAAGGGATTGAAAAAGGCAAAAGTTGTGGGCCTTAATACCTGCAGAGTCACTGATTCTAGAGCCAATCTATTCAGTGTGATGAACATCAAAGTCACCGACAACAACAATATTGGGTGATGGATAAAGAATGAGGACTTGGTCAATATAATCAGAAATAACATTAAGAAGAGTGCAGTCTTGAGATGAAGGAGAGCGATATGGAACAAAGAGAAAGGTGATAGAGTGAAGTGGTGCTAAAGAAAAACAAATAAGAGAGTAGTCTGTGGATTCAAACCTAGTTTCCTGACAAATGGGTGAGTTCTTACAAATATAAATGCCCAGGCCAAGCATGTGACAATGGAGTCTTTTCGAATTAAAGGAAGATAACCATCAACACTAAGATCACAAGATGAGACAGTTGAACTCAAATTAGTCTCACAAAGAGCAAGTAGGTTTGGTGAACTTTGCAGGAGATAAGACTCAACAGAAGAAAAGTTACTTCGAAGACCACGAATATTAGTGAATGATAGATTTAGAGAACTTGGTGATGACCGTGGTTTTTTGTGTTTTACAGTTTTTGTTACTTTATTCATTTTTAAATTTGTGAAAGAACTTGACTTGAAACATAGATACATAGTACTCAGTACACTGTTTTTTAGGCCAAGCAATTGCCTCATTTCCGCTAATAAACCCTAAGCCGTAACAAAGGGCTCCAATGTGGCCTTGGCAATGCACACCAAAAGTACAAACAGGGACATCATCCATGCGCAAAATGGCACTGTTAGTACTTTGATATTTTTCAGCTGTTGAAGGAATCAGCCTCTCTGAGAGCTACCACAGGTTCGGGAAACCTGACTACCAGCTGGTCTTAGAACCATAAAACTGAGTTTTAGAGCTGTACCCTCATTTAAAGATAATAGAATGAGTTGCCTTGTCATAAAATGAAAAACACAAGCAAAACCCATGCATCGAGTCAAGATGATCTAGCGTTTAACATCCTAATCTCGAAACAATGTATTAAAAATACATCTGCGCCAGCCTAATAGATGGAGAAGGGTTGCGAGGCTGGTCAACAGATAGAATCTGTTTACCCCTTAAGTCTTTGCCTAAGAGGTCTTCTACATAATGCCGAATGTATTTAACATCTTCCCAAGATGAGTATTTTTATCGAGACACCATCTCTAGCCTTTACTCAACCAAGAGCCTTAAGGCAGGGGGTATTTTATGTCGGAGTTTGCATCTCCTAGCCTTTGCCTAAAAAGGCATATCCTACAAGGACATGAAGCATATTGTACTGGGTTTCATGTTACCAGTAGCAGGATAAACCTGACCTGACCAGAATTGTGTAGCCTGTTTCTGTAAAATCTTGTAGCCTGTTTCTACAAGGGAGTACTGCTACATCGATTATCTTGTAGCCTGCTGCTAAAAGGGAGTGCTGCTACATCGACTATTTTATAGCTTGCTTCTACAAAAAAGTGCTGCTACATTGACTGAGGATTTGACAGAGGACAGCAATCGTTTTACTTTTATTGTTTCAATTAAAATTTCTAATGTTTAAAAACTCTCCATTAACGAGAACGCAGCAAGTGAAAAAATAAAATTATTTTAAAGCGCTAAACTGTAGCTTACCTAAAATTACATTGTGTTTGTGTCCTACAGAACAATTACATTGCTCGGTTCGACAAAGATTTTTTAACTTAATTTACACAGTCTATGTCACGTGTCTTAAATAAAAACGAATGAAGTAAAAAAAATGATGTAAAAAAAATTAAAGGCATTCCGGCCTGAAATATTTTAAATCCGGTCGGAAACGGAATAACCAAAAAGTTCCAAATTCCGGCCAGAATTCCGGTACATCCCAAGAATTGATCTATTTTCGAATATGTCAAACTATTAAACGTTGCTGTTAGTGTGGTATTTAAAGCAGATTAAGTTAACGTCATCAATTAACATTTTTTAAAAATGTCATCATGCAAAAAAGTATTAACGCTTTCATTATTGCCAGTTGGCGGACCATAACAGCAACTTGAAAATTTATTTTCAGTGCTAATGGGTAATATTTTATGTCAATAGAAATACTCATTTCATGCCTGAGAATAAACCTCATATCATATACCTTTTTCAAAATTTACAGAGTCTAACTCTGGCTTTTCTGGCAATACATATAGCCGTAGGATACAATTAGAAGTTTGGAATGACACACCGAACCTAGTTTTGATTACCCAATCCAAAACTACATTAACCACTGGTTATTGCTAAACAAATTTCATTTAAATTTAATATTGCCTAAAACTAAATATTTAAAATAATGTCTCTTTTCCTAAGTCACTTTTCGAGGATTTTAAGTCTAGAGACACATCATAAAAATTTACTAGTTTTTAAATAGTATTTCTGAATACAGAATAAAAAACTTTTACACAAGCAGACTGACTTCACTGCACTCAAGTGCGCGTGGCAAAAACGGAAAAAAAAATTAATCTTTTCCCCAAAATGACATTTATTTTGCCATCTCCATCAGATTTGATCCTATCCCAAACCCATTTCCATCAAGTTATTTGCACCTTCCTCAAGGAAGTAAGTTTTGCTATATTTTGTTTATTTATCGGTTATATTTCTTGTTTCCAAGATATCCTACTTAACATGTTACTGATAACGTTATAATACCGCGCCTGTTATTGCCGGGACTTTGCATTACCTTATTTCATTATACATTACCGCAGTAATTACTGCGGTAACCGTGCTAACATCGCAATTTATGTTACTGTCACTTCCTCGTGATCCATGGATGTAAGAAAGTCTGTATAGTAATAAATAAAATTCATTTTTTTCTAACTTTATTTTATCTTTTTATATATAAGTATATAAATTTTTTATTTCGTTGTGTCTGTTTATTTATTTCAAAGTGTACCAAGATTTTTATAATTACGTTTTTATAATTACAATTTTATTCCGTTGTCTCTGTTTATTTATTTCAAAGTGTATCAATATTTTTATAATTAAATTAAAAAATTAAAAGATAACTAATACTTTTATAATTAAGTTAAAAAACCAAAAGATAATACTAAAAAAGGACTGATTTTTAAAAAGATACTAAAAAAAAAAAAGTTTATAATTTAATAAAAGTAAATACAAAACTGTTACAAAACTATTTTTTTTCTTCAATGTTGGTTAGGCGCACGATGGTGAATCTACCATTTAACTACTTAGAGGCTGTACAAACTCTTCATTCTTTTTTTCCATTTCGATATCATAGAGTTTGATATATGGTTCAACAGCGTTCCAAATCTAAAATATAGTATAATAACAAATAGTTTTAAAAATATATCTTGTTATATTTTACATATAAAACATAAAGTATATGCCAACATTTAATCTAAAGAAATCTTTATTGTTTTAGCTAGTGTGACACAGCAATTGCAAAAAAAATTCGTATGAATTAAAAACTAAAAATTTGTATGAACGTGCATTTAGTATTTGTTTAGATGGGTAAAACTTTTATTGGATCAATATAGATCAAAGTATTTTCATTCTTCTTTCATCTTAAAATCAAATTTAATGCATCTTGTCTCGTTGTCAATAGGTTTTACTTATTTTTATATTTTTGACATATAGTATTGAATGCATTTAGTTGCATAATTATCTTTATACAATTTAAGCCAAAAACAATGCATGACATACGCGGTATACACCGGGAAAAAAACATTTACATAGCTCTCAAATTAGACTATCTCTCACATCAATAGGAAATACAACGTTCATTTGATGTAATTAAAACACACTAATGGTGATATTGCGGAGTTTGTGAATTGGTCGTTCGTAAATTATGAAGAAGAAAATATATACAGAAAACTGCGGGAAAAGTAAAAAAAAAAAAAAGAAAAGTGAACCTTTTCTTTTTTTTTTTTACTTTTACCCCAGTTCTTTCTTTTGGGTTTATTAAAAACTAACACAAAAAATCTTTAAAATTGCGAGAAACATGTTTTGTAGAGAATTTAAAAGCTAACACAAAAAATCATTAAATTGCATTCACAAGTATTGTTGAGAATTTAAAAGCTTATACAAAAATTTTTTAAAAATGCAAGACATATGTATAGTGGAGAAATTCGCACTTTATCTAAAGCTGTTATAATTTTTTGAAAAGTTATTCTTGCAGTCTTTAAAATTCACACCCTAGTGAAAAAAAGTTTTTTTTTTCAAAAAAACCAATTTTAAAACTCCCAAAAATCTAAAAATGAAATTTTTGAGAAAATTTTATGGCGATCAAAATTCCCGGTATACCAAAAAAAGAATGGTACCAATGTTTCATAAAACGTCATAATTTAGGCGTCAGAATAGAGTCATAAATTAGGCGTCAGAGTAGAGTCATAAATTAGGCGTCAGAGTAGCAGGCAATATTTCTTCCGTCAGACCTTTACTTGTGTCGAGAACAAAATAACAAATTATTTTAATACTATTTAAAAACAGTTTCTTAAAGCAAATATTAACAATAAAACTTCGTGCAATTTGTGGAATTTTGACAAAGTTAGATTTTCAGGCGATTAAATTAAACAGAGTATAATTTTAACTTAGTGCTAAACGCCCTTTAAAAATGGTTAGTAATAACAAAAAAATTAATTGCAGTCGGCAATTGTGTCAACGCAACCGGTTCTGCCGCCATTTTTGTAGTTTACAAATCAATATCATGTATGTGACTGTTGAGAAATGAACGAGAAACAATATATTCAATGGCTCACTAAAGTTTTTATACTTAATGAAGTATTTATACCTGCAATGAAATTAATTCTATGTAATTAGTTTGGTCTACTTAAATTGAGTAGTCTAATCAATTAATCAAAACAATTTTTCAATTGCAGGTATTCACATTTTTGTCTTTGACAGAAACTTTACTTACGATGTTGCACGTATTTAAATTGACAAAAACATCAGGCAGATATGCTTACCAGCTAATTTGTCCCACTTACTTTAATCGTTAGACATAGAAGTACATTGTCACATTAAACAAGTTTGATACAAGTTATTTACAGAATTTTACGCAACTACAAGTTTCAACAACTAAAGAAAGTTTAATTCAACTACAAGTAAAACCTTTTAGCCCTGGAGATGTATTTACACTAACACAAAAAATGGCTGGTTTTCAAAACACTGGTTTGTTTCTATTCAATATTAGAGAAGTGATCAATCAAAATTAAAATTTGCTCAAACATTTAAAACACGATCTGAGCCTGCTTCCTTATCCTCAATCGAGCCTGCTTTATTATCTCATCCCAGCCTATATCATCATTTAACATCAGTCAGCATCAAACTTTAACAACAACACCAGTGCTCAAACGTATCAAATGTTGCAAGATTTCACAGAAAGACATTTATAAGGCATTTTGAAAAATGTTTTACAGAGCCACCATGTTGACGCACAAAAAAGAATCAGCATTCCGATAGTTGAAGGCCAGTGTCTAGGTACATCTGAGGTGCTCAAGAAACTGAAGCAAGACGATAAGGCAAAAAAGTCAAATCAATTAAAGAAACTCAATATTGACTTCAGTGAAACTTTAGATGAAACTCAGCCAGTTCAACATTCAAAAAAACTTAGACAAGACAAAGACATCAAGAGGTGCAAAAGGTGTCGCAGAATTCGGGAAGCATTCCCAATTCAAAACAAAAGTGAACAATTTTTTTCTTCATAAAAACTGATTATTTTTGAAAATTTTCAAAATATTTATCTCAATTTTATTTATTTAAAAAATATTTATTTTTTAATGTAAAATATTTTCACTAAAAAAAACAAAAAAACAAAAAAAAACTTTAAAATTATATTTCTTTAAATAAAAAACTTTTTAATAATTTGATGCTAAACTGTTTACTCTGAGGGATCATCCATAAATTACTTAACAATTTACTTATAAACAAAATAAAAAAGATAAAAATTTATCACTTGCAGAGCCATAAGTTATCAAAATAGCCCATTGAGTTTAATGAAAATCTTTGCTTAAAAAAGCCTAAAATCTCCTACTTCTTTTTTTAAAACAGTTAAGCGTTAAGTAATTTATGGACTCTGCCCCAAGTTTAATCTCTACTCTTTTAGAGTATAAAAAACAAAACATTTAAATTGCAAAACATTTTCTATATAAACTTATAAGTGATAGATATATTTTCAAGTGATAAATTTTTATCTTTTTTTATTTTTTCACAAAAAAAATATTTTAGTTAATCAGTTTAAAGAACCATATATTTACTTCATTTTTGATATAATATAATTTTATATTACTTTTCATAACTTAAATAATCTTTATTTCATTCAAAAACAATTTTTTTTCAATGTTTTATATTTCAATATAATATATTATATATACAACAATTCAATATATTATATATATAACAACACTATAACTTTTCGCGTAAACCAATTGCATGAACTTTCAAACATCTACTTTTTCATCATTATATATATATATATATATATATATATATATATATATATATATATTATATATATATATATATATGTATATATATATATATATATATATATATATATATATATATATATATATATATATATATATATATATATATATATATATATATATATATATATATATACAATTGCAGCTGTTTAGCTAGAAAATGTTATTGGGAAGAAGCGAAAAATGGATGGCGTGGTGCCAGTAAGATGGTATCGATATGATCTAGTCTCAATTAAGTTAGTCGCCGCAGTGCCGGTTCAAGGGGGAGCTAGGAGGGACTATAGCCCCGGGCCCGCAAATTTAGGGGCCCCTAAAAATTTTAGAGGACCTTTTTTTGTTTTTAAGTCATTTTTAGGCTATAACCCATAAAAAGGCCTTGAAAAACAAAAATAGCCCCGGGTACCAAAAAGTCTTAATCCGCCACTGAGTCGCCGGTAAGTGTTTTAAAAAGTTTTATCGTTTATTTTTAGAGTAATTTTTCAATGTGTTGTGCATGAAGAACGTTGTTGATTACATATTAAATGAAAATGTTTTTTTTCAGACAAAAAATAAAACCTTTAAACAATTTCCTTCTATATTTACTTGTCCAAGTGCCAGTAAAACGATAGAGAGAAAAAAAGGCTTGCAATTTTTATATATATATTTCTAAACAATCTCAATAATTTTGGTGTTTTTATTTAGTTGAATGATGAAATTGTTTATGCAAAAGATTGGCTGTTTAAATTTTATGTTAAAGTTGTTATTTCCTTGTTAACTGTTGTCTGTCGTTAACAAAGCAAGTAAAAAAATGCACATGACGACAACAGATTTGAATTTAGAACTGTTTGCAAAACTTTTGGTTTGGATAAAAAAGACCATTGAAAATGATATTGGAAAGGTACATTCTCTAATATGTAAACATCATTGCAGCTTTCTAGTCTTCATTTTTGCTTATGTGTATTTCATCTGTATTGCAATGATATCGCCAGTTTTTATGACTTTATGATGTTCAGTTAAACATCGTTTTGTTTCAGGCTAAAATAGAGCTTTCCTTAATCTTTTTATCCAGTTTAAACAACTCTCAAGTTGTAATAGCTGAATTATCTTTTCGTTTTGATAGACTATAGTCAATAACGAATTTTTAAGTTGTTACGAGTCTACAACACTTATTTTCAGCAAAAACCAATTAAAAAGTCACGTTATTGAAGACAAAAAAATATCAATATCTGTTTTCAATAACTTGGCATTAATAGAAAATCTGAGAGGTGCAAATGTTTAGCTTGGTTTAAGTACTACATAATATAATACATCGTTGTACAGTCATTTTGATTGTCGTAAATTTCTTTAGCATACTCATTTTTATTTTAGATTGTCTACCATTTGATTCTTTTCCCAATCTAATTAAGTGGGTTCAAAAAGAAAGGACCGCGCTGGAAATATGAGGAGATTAAAAGGATCAGCCCTTTTTGAATTATTAGTCGGTAAGTCTAATGTGTTTCACTAAGCTTATCAAGTTTCATTTGCTTTTTTGTACTACATTCAAGCAATAGACTGTTTTTTATGTTCACTCGTTTTTTAGTAGTTGTAACCAGCTCGTATGAAATGAGTTCTTGACGTGAAATAGTGAATTTTATTCAACAATGTCATGAAACAGAGCTCGCTCAAGAAACGGAGAAGAAAGAGAAAGATGAAAAATGTTCTGTTGAACAATACTGTTGTTTTATTGATAAATTATTCTCCTATGTTTAAACATATAAAAAATGTAGAAAATGCTTCCTCTTTTATATTGACATCTAGAACAGCTTTTTGTCATACTTTGTATGAAAAGCTATTATCATTTTAATTTGATAAAAACAGCTTTTCATATATGAAAAGTAGGAATACGATAGTGTATAGGATACTATAGTATACTAATAAGTATGACAAAAAAGTCGTTCCGACCCCGAGAAAAAAAGATATCTTTTAGATTTGCATATTCGACTAAAAAAGACGTCTTAAAAACATTGTAAATGAGACTTCTAAAGACGTCTTTTCGACGTCTTTTTTCCCACTGGGAAGTTGTTTTATAAACTTTTCTATCAACATTAATTTTATAAATTTTTCTAGTAACATAATTATTAAAAAACAAATAATCTTAACTCTGAATTTAGCCCTAATCCATGACCTTGCCTATGCTTTTAAATATTTGTATAAATTTGGAAAGTAATTTAAATAGTATAATAAATGATAAATTTAAATTTAAACAACCTTTTCTTCTTGTAGCAACTTAACTACTGCTTCTATATCAGGAGCCATAAAACGATCTGTATCATACGCTCTTAAACAACAAATAAAGTGCCATTAACAATAATATTAATAACGATAATAATAATAGTAATAATATAATAATATTAATAATAATAATAGTAATAATAATAATAATAATAATAATAATAATAATAATAATAATAATAATAATAATAATAATAGTAATAGTAATGTTAAAAGCATTTATATATAATAATAGTATATATATAATAAAAGCATTAAAAAAAAAAAAGAAATAACAATGTTTTTTTATATTGGAGTTCTCATTACATTAAAGTTAATACAAAAAGAAAAAGTGTATTAATAAAGCGCATTATTAAAATAGATTTTCATTGTTTAACAATATTGTATTATTGTTTTTATTAGAAGATAATTTTAGTTTAGTTTGATAAACTAGTTTAGAAAGATAAAAAAAAAATTGTTTGCTTTATGCCTGGCTGAAAAAAGAGCACTGTGTCTAGCTGAATACATGAAGCTTTACGTAAAAGTATGGTTGCACTTGATGTACACATTCCAGCCCAACATTATGCTAATGACTACTAATATAGTCCTATTGTTTTTAATAGAAAATAGTTTTAGTTTAGTTTGATTAAAAATAGTTCTGGCAACCCATTGGAAATCTTTCCAGTGTATAGTTGGCATAGTCCACCCCTAAAAGAAGTAATAAAGATTTCATTCAAATCTTTATTTAGGTAATGCTGTCCTTATAGTGTTTTAGCTGAGATGTTGAAGATTTTAATTTTTTTGGCAGGTGTCAGACCTTGGCAGTGCTATTATGTTTACAAAGGTTATAAAAAAGATCTATTGACAGCATAGCAAGAATGGCTGCCATCTATAAAAAATTACAACAACAACTAAAACAAAGGTTTTTTATTACTACTTTCATCTCGTTTTAAAAAGTTCTGTGTTGGTTAACCGTGAAAGAAATTCTAGCATATGACTTTTGTCTGAATGCAGAGACAGATGAATTTGGTTTTGGTTATAACACTTTCTCATATTTATAACTCTAAAACACGAACCTAGACGAACAAGATAGTTGTGCGGAAAAGCAAGTTAAGAAAGTCAAGAAAAAAATTGAAACAAATAGTGGTAGAAAAATAGAGGGCAGGTAAGTTTTGTTTTGGAAAACAACTGGATCAGCTTTATATCTCAAAGATAAAATTGGATCGATGGGATTAAAAAAGATCAAGAAAAAGAGTTTAGAAAAGGCATCAAGAAAGGGAGTAAAGTGTGATGGGCCCAAGTTTAGATTTCTACTTCTTATAGCAAGAAGTGTATCATTAAAGATTAAAGAAATGTTATACCCCACAGGTGGCCAGAATGTTATGATTTATGGCAGTGAAACACAGATAATGAAAGTTAATGATGGCATCTTGAAAGAATAGAGAAAATGACGATCTGATGAATATGTGGTGAAATTCTAAAATATAAAAAAATGATGATCGAAATCAGTAATTGGATATAGTAAGGGTATTGGTCTAAAGGTCGCCGTATTAAAAGAATAAATGTTAAAAAACTTTTTTATTTTTTAAAAGCCTAGTAAAAATGTAATTAAAACTTAATCAGGCTATTTTAAAGCTTTAGTTTAGTATTTTTTTAAAATTAATGTTCAACCTATAAAAAAACTACTAATAATATAAAACATACTATAAAAAATTAGTTAGTTTTGGTTTCAAAATTCAATGGATTTTGCTTACTGTGTTCCCTGTGTTAAAGCCGACATTGGGCAGAGCTCGTAACATCGGTTAAACATTCGCTACACTGATGTGAACAAAACAATATTGACTGAACGTCGGTTATATGTCTGTTAGCCGACGAATAGGTTAACAGACATACAGCCGACGTTCAGCCAATTTGGTTCGGTTTTTTAATTTAATGATGCATTATAATAAAAAACGGAATGTATTAGTTTTCTATAAACTATTAAAAATGGCAGCAAATCTATCTGAAAGGCGAGGAACTAATTATGAATTATCAACATTTTTTAATGCATTAGAACTTTAATACTTTTGCTTGGTAAGATAATATTATTTAATAACATCAATTTATATTTATAAATAATTTGTTTATTTTTATCTATAAAAGCTTACTTGAATCAAAATTTATAAATCATTAAAGTCTTAAACTTTAATGAAATTTTTAATATTTTAAAACAAATTACTGTTTACCTTGTATGTTGCGATAGACATTTTCTTGTTTTAAAATTAAAGCGTTAATCTGGTTCTTGGTTAAAGTTTTTCTCGCGAATTAGGGCTTTCCATCCCATTCCTTTGATCAATAATTCAACTTTTTCAGTTAAGTATTTAAGATAAAATTTATTTATTGGTATTGGTATATTCTTCATTGAGTAATTATAGGAATGTTGTTCCATGCTCCGATATTGCATATAGAGTTATTATTATTATTATTTAAAAGCACCGATAATAATTAGAGAGTGCTTAACAACAAAGGAGCATTATTATACCAGTAAGAAAAGTAGTTTTTCGGTATAGAGTTCTCAATACAAAAGTAGAGTAACTACTATGTTATTAAATTATATTATATAATATACATAAATATATATATATATATATATATATATATATATATATATATGTATATATATATATATATATATATATATATATATATATATATATGTATATATATGTATATATATATAAACATATATATATATATATATATATATATATATATATATATATATATGTATATATATATATATATATATGTATATATATATATATATATATATATATATATATATATATATATATATATATATATATATATATATATATATATATATATATATATATACATATATATATATATATATATATATATATATATATATATATATATATATATATATATATGTATATATATATATGATATATATATATGTATATATATATATATATATATTTATATATATATATATATATATTTATATATATACATATATATATATATATATATATATATATATATATATATATATATATATATATATATATATATATATATATATATATACATATATATATATATATATATATATATATATATATATATATATATATATATATATATATAAATATATATATAAAATGTCCAAAATGGCAAAGTAACTTTTTATTTAATTAGTAGTTGAATAAAAAGGTAAACACTTCCTGCTGGAAGTCTGTATTGGCTTGAGTTGTTTACACTTCATTAATTCCACCATCAATAACAATAATTTCACCCTCAATAAAAGAGTGATGGTTTTGTCAGTAACCTAACTACGTTATAATTTATACTATATTGCAATTATTGATTTGTAAAATTTAATTTCATACTAATTTATAGATGTTGCACACAGTGAATTACGAAGACCAATGCACAAAAACATCGGATTTTTAGCCGATTCAATTTATTTGATGATTTGACAGATTCAGATTAATTTATTCTAGAAATATATTTAATTTTAATTTATCTAAGTGTTTTATTTATATTATAGTTGCTTATCGTTTTTTTTGTAAACATCTTACGGTAAACGTTTAACTTTTAACTTATATTAAACTGATTTCATTTGCTGACATCATTCTAATTTAAGTTTGAGAAAATAATTGCATCGGCTAGCATTCTTAGCTTTTTTATATTTTCGGTTAGAGTTCGGGTGTCAATATCGGACCATCATCATTTTTTTCCATATGGAATAGTGGCGGGCCGATATTGCCTATCCCATAGTTTGGGTGGCTAGCCAATGTTGGGCCGACCTCGATTCATACGGACAAAAATGACAGCGGTCCGATGTCTGCAATCGAGCTCGAGCTTGTAAAATAAATTGACATTGGTTCTAATTTTGCGCACACCGGCGGAAATCGCCAATAAGATTGATTCTTCTTTCTAACCACTCATTAGTTACTTCTAATTGTTTTACAATTTTTTTAGTAATTCAATAAGCTTAGAAGAATTTCCTTTTTTGTGAATTCATAAGCCATTCTAGATCATTTATTAGTTCTAATAAATAGAAAAGAGCCTAGACCATTGCCAAACTAAAAAAAATAAAATAATAAAATAACATAATGTCGGAAATTTTGGTTTCACAATTAAAAACATTTTTGGTTTTGGGGTAGAAAAAAATTTCTTAGACATCATTGTTTTGTTGAAAACAATTTTTCATTAAATAAAAATAAAATAACAAGCTCTTTGGTTAAATACCAATGTTAAAAGTTAATCAACAAAATCACCGCAGTCGCAATTCCTGAATCCAATTCATTGTAACAAAAAACTTGAAGTCATTGACTGTATTAAATACAGAAATCTTTTTGCAGAGAAATTGCATTAAATAAAAATAACTAATAAATTTAGTGGGTCATAATTCACACATCGGACATAATTAATTTATCAGAATAAGAGTACCATATTCATAATAGTTGTGAGTTAAAAACATTTTACTGATAAAAATATCAGTGGACTTTTTTCCCCAAGACAATTAAGAGTAAATTCAGTTAACTTAAGACTATTGCGGAAATATTTTTTTATCGAGACATTAGTAAACCTATTTCAGACCTAAGTTTGCTTGATTAACTATTTTTTATTTGATGGCAGTAGGCCACTAAAAAAAAGTAATGTTTGAGTAATTAATATCAATTCTTGAAAATTTAGCTCGGAAATATTTAAAAAGAGGTTAATCATTTCAGTTCTAGCTCTCTCCTTGTAATGCAGTAAACACATGGTTAATGTGCAGCTGATGGCAACATATTAAATAAGAGGTCTATTATACTTAAATTTGATTTAAATTACACCACTTTTACTACCTGTGTAGCTGACTGTTGCATATACCAACAATATTTTTTAAAACGTTCCAATCTTGCACGAGTTTTAAGGCCGCATTACATTGAATTTTATCTGTTGATTCTTAAAATAAAGGTACACCAATAAATTTAGGACTGCATATAAAAATTAAGTAAACTTCTATAACAACAACAACAAGAAATATACATAGTATATAAATAAATAAGTACATGTTATGAGATCTGCTTGTAAGATTGCAGCTAGTTCTTCATTGTCTAAATGAAAAAGTATTAAGTCAGTGCAAAATGGTTTTTTTGGTTTGATTTCCAAGTCAGCTATAATTGACGCTAATGTTTTCCCTACCCATAATGTTTTAGAAAATGCCCAGTTTATACTGAAATTAATATATCATCATGCTTCTACTTTTTCAGTGGATTTAAATTGAAGCTGTTGGCAAGCAACATCGGTCTGCCATCGATGCGGCAACTTCTGAAAAATTCTTTGCTGATATTTCAAGTGAATGTATCAAAGTATCTTCCTTTTCTTTGGAGGTTAAGGAGTAACCTCTGTATCTTTTTGATATTCTTCATCAGTAATATATACTAATTCACTGACTTCAAAGGCACCTGATTTTTGATCTTTGGTTGAACTTGTTCATATGCACTTACTTCTGAAAAGTCGCTAAGTTGTTCAAATGTATTTCAAAATTTGGGAATATTTTTGGTTCGAGCCTAACATATTGACTTGACTGCACAATTTTTTTTATTTTTACTTTTTCCCCCAATAATATTGTTAGCAAATACAAGATTTTAAAAGGCAAAAATCAGATTGGAATTCCAGCTTTTTTATCTCTTGCAGAAGTTTATGAATAAAAACCAAAATATCTAGCGCATATTTTTATATTGGCAATTGAAGCTTAACAAGTTATCGGATTCAGGGTGACCTACTAACCAATCTTGTTTTTTTTTTCGAGGTTTATCATTATCATAAAATATTTGTCTATCTAATAAACTAATTTTTAAATTAATTTTGAAGTTTTACTTTCTGCTAATTGATGTAACATCCAGTCTTTTCTTCAATAAACTAATGAAATTTTATATACAAGCACACATATTTTTATTTTGCAATTAACTAATTATGCAAAAAAAAAAAAAAAAAAAAAAAAAAATTATGCAAAGAAAACAACAAACTAATATATTTTGCATGCAATGCAACAATTTCCTTTAAGGCATCAATTCTATAGGAACAAATATTTAGTAAAATTATTTATAAAAATAAAACTAAATAAAAAAATGAAACTAATTATAAAGATAAAATAATTATAAAACTAAAACTAATTATAAAAATAAAACTAATTATAAAAATAAAACTAATTAAAAAAATAAAATAGTTATAAAACTAAAACTAATTATAAAAATAAAAATAATTATAAAACTAAAATAATGATAAAAATAAAACTAATTATAAAAATAAAAATAGTTAAAAAAATAAAAAAATTATAAAACTAAAACTAATTATAAAACTAAAACTAATTATAAAGCTAAAAATAACTATAAAAATAAAAATAATTATAAAAATTAAAATAATTATAAAAACAAAAATAATAATAAAAATAAAAATAATTATAAAAATAAAAATAATTATGAAAATAAAAATAATTATAAAAATAAAAATAATTATAAAAATAAAAATTATTATAAAAAAAAGACTAATTATAAAAATAAAAATAATTATAAAAATTAAAATAATTATAAAAATTAAAATAATTATAAAAATAAAAATAATTATAAAAATAAAAATAGTTATAAAAATAAAACTTTATAATACGGCGACCGCTAGACATTAACTAATATTATTTGAAAATTTGGCCTATGTTCATTTGATAACCGCGGTGACATACACTAAATAACATAAAATGCAAACCTGAATTGGTCAGAAATTGTTTGAAAAGGCAATAATTTTTCAGCAATAGAGTTGTCGACGGATGGAATAGTCTACCAGCCGAAGTTGTTCAATCTACTACAGTTAAAAGCTTCAAATTAAACTTGCAATCGGTCGACTTAGAAGCAATAACAAACAAGATAAAAACCAAGAAAGCTTATTATTAACGTTTTTTATAATTTAGTGACTGAACTAACTTTAATTAATTTTTTAGTTCATTAATTAATTTATACCGGCTGTCATAGATATTGCCTGGCGCTTCATCTCAACAGCATTAATTAATAATAATTAATAATAATAGCATAATATTAATTATTTTTGTTTATGAAAATTTTAATTTGATAAAAGGATAAAAATGTTATTTTTTCAAAGAGGCGATATCTAGATAATGTTTTAAAATTTTAAAAATTTACAGATGCAATGATTACCCCGTTAAGGAAGTAATTTAATCATTTTCAAAAACTTGTTGGGAATGAAACACACGACTGTGCAAGCCTGAAAACAAAAACATTGAAACACTAATCGTGGCGATGATGATATGCATGTAATTGAAATTATTTTGAAAATATTTGGTCTTTATAGAATTTATATAGACTCTGACCAAGAATGCATTCTTTTTTACAAAATTTTGATCAGGAGTTAAAGATTGACCTAAAAATTATCAACATCCGCAATCGGCAAAAATTGATACAATTGTATTTTTTAGCTTTACTTGCAAATAAATAACTTCTTTAAAACTTTTTAATCTTTTTAAGACTTTTGTTATAACATAAAAGCTTGTTTTACCTTTTAATATTAGTAGAATGCTTCCTTCAAAAGACACCTTACCCCAAATTTTAAAATCTTTTTTATGTTTATAAACTTGTGTGTCCCTGTATGTAACGCTGTATAAATTAGTTAAAACACTAAACACTACACAACAAAAATTTCATTTTATTACTTAAAAGCATCTTGCTTTATTGAAAAAAATGCAAAAACTCAATAAATTTTGATTCCTTTTATTCTATTATTGTTATTAACAGAGCTTCCTATGAGTATGAGTTCAAAATTAAGAAAGGATAATTTCATTCCTTATTGAAATGGAAAGAAGAAATTCATATTAAAATGGGAAAACCTCTTCTTAATTCATAATTACCATCATATATCATTACAATATCAGTATAATTTCTCTTACCCTTTATATATTTATATTCTATATCATAAAACTTGTTTTTTTTTATTACTTTATAAAAAATGTAACTATGGTAACTATTGAAAAAACAATGTAGCTATAAAAATCGTTTATATACAGAAACTGTAACTAAATTTTTAAACCTGACAATGTCAAAAGTTATTGATGAAACAAATTCAAAAGTTTTAAAAAGATTGTTAATAAATTGAAAGTTCTTACTGAATTAGTGCTTCTTAGAACATTTTTTTTTTAATTTCCTTAATTCAATTTCCTATATTTTTCCGTAAATAAACTAACAAAAAAGCATATACCGAACAACTGAGCGTACAGTACGGTATACAGCTTCAAGTGGTTCAGTTGATTTAAGTGGTCGTAAAAATTCTAATCCTTGGCATGCAGCAAGCAACTCAATGGCAAGAACTAAAAAAAATGTTGAAATAAATGACAGGTGATTTATTGTAAATATTACAAATATAAATATCTATTATTATTATTGGAAATAAAACATCTCCATTTACAAAAGGTGTCATTAAATGCACCTTAGCAACTATTTTTTACTTTAAACTTAAAAAATTAAAAAAAGTTTTTCTTAACCACAAAAAAGGAACAAAAACTTATTTACAAAACAATTTATATTATTGTATACAAAATTGATAAATAATACCGACAAATTTCAGAATTTCATTGTTTAGAGTTTAAAATGTTGTTTTAAAATTATTGAATCAATTTTTATTTTTTAAACAATTTCCTGATTTGAGAGAGAAAATTTTAAAATAAAGAATTTATCTGATGAGATTAGCTAATTAATCAATTGCAAAACGCATGTTTTTTTCAAAAATTATGAAATATTTTTGTTTTTTAAATAACTTTTATATTTACTTATGCATATCATCAATGCATAAAAAGTTTCAAACTCTATAAAAAAATTTTTTTTCCAGCTTTTATAACTAAATACTTCTGTTTGAACTCATCCTTTAAAAAAAACTGCTTTTTGAAATTTGCACATAAGGTTTTATTCGTTCTTGTTGGTTTTAATATAGTCAGTTATTGCAAAGTAGTTAAATGGTTTCAGAACTCCGGGTTCAGAAAAAAATAATACAAGAAGTGGCAAAGTGGTAAACTGGCATCAGAATCAAGGGAGTTCCATGCTTTTACTTACTAAATTTTGGAGATCCGCAATAAAAGAGACATAAACTTCTTATTTAAATATTCTTCTACTGTGTTCGGTGAAAAGCCTGTTCAGTCTCAGTTGAGCACCTTAATAACGGTGAGCACCTTAATAAGTGCATTTTTTGCATATACAGCAATAACTGTACTTTTAATAGCTTGTGTGTTTATGCCTACATTCGATATGTACATTTACAAAACTAACCACACTTGTTAAGGACCAATGTTTTTAAAGAAATGAAAAAGGCGATAAATGCAATGTAAATAATATAAAATAGGACTTTAGATAAAATTCTTATACATTGTGTAAATACTTTAAACATTATTTTCCTTTTCTTTTAAATCCCTTTTAAAAAACAAGAGATGAACACAACTTAGGAATGAATATGAAGGAATGAATGCTACTTAGAATTCTTTCAGTAAAAGGTGGATGCAACTTAAGAATGGTTACAGTAAAAGATGCTACTTAACTGAATGACTCGTGAAACTATATCATTGAAGAATAAAAAAAAAAGGAATGAAAAAAGAAAGATAAACCATCTATACCTCAGCGCTTCCATCAAATGCATAATAAAAATATTCTACTATTATAATTTTGTTATAGAATCATATCTATTGAATCTTTTACAACAACTAACAAGTCAGCATTAGAATGCGAGGATCAAAATCCGGATAAGAGAGTTGTTAGATCAGAGAGATCACAGACTAAACTATTGGATTTAAGATAATAGAAGATTAAAAAATAAAATACATTACTTATTTAATGACGGAATAATAGTTAGAAGGGTAAAAGCAATCTTTTGAGTTTTTTAAAATTTTGACCGCACGTTCCATTTTGCAGCAGACAGAAAAACAAGATTTAGTTAGACACTTGTTATATAGTTTAAGGAGCTTTGTGGAGATTTCTGGAAATACATTTATATGGCTGCAACAAAAATATTGTCTAGAATAAAAACTGTTGAAGAGTTTAAGTAAGAAATAGTTTAAGAATAAAATCCAGAATGATTAGGATGTCTAACAATGAAAAAACATGTTTCTTTGAAATGTCACAAAAGGTGATGTTATTAGATATGTCAAGAGATAAAAAGGAAGGTTTTTGCAAAATAGTCTTATCTTTTAACGAGAAAGAAGATTAAATTTAAATATAGAAGATGATATTTTAGGTTTACCTCAGTTAGTGACACTGTTAAATGTTTTTAAAATGTTTAATAATAAATCTAAATGTTCTAACTTATTAAAAAAGAATTTTACATAAAAAATAAAATATGAAATATGCAATTTAAGAATGGAGCTGAGCATCATTTTTCTGTATTAATTAAATGCAATTATAAATAGATGTTAGTTCCTAAGTTCTTGTGAAAAAGATTAAAGATATAACTACTATTAGAAAAGTGGCTGAACACGAAAAAAATACCATATGGTAGAGTGTGGCTCATTATTTTTTTCGGTTATTAAGGTGCTCAACGGAGACTGAACAGGCTTTTCACCGAATACAGCAGAAGAATGTTTAAATAAGAAGTTTATGTCTCTTTCTTTGCGGATCTCCCAAATTTGGTAAGTACAAGCATGGAACTCCCTTAATTCTGATGCCAGTTTATCACTTTGCCACTTCTTGTATTATTTTTTTCTAAACCCGGAGTTCTAAAACTATTTAACTACTTTGCAATAACAGTCCTGACTGTAACCCTGACTGTATTAAAACCAACAAGAACGAATAAAACTTTATGTGCAAATTTCAAAAAGCAGTTTTTTTTGTTAAAAACAGTAAAAAGAAAGAAAAGAGAAAGAAACCGACAAAAGTTTTTTAAAATTTAAAATTGCATTTGGAAAATATGAGAACTAAAAAGAATTCCGAAGTACCAATGTTGATAAAGAAACTGGCAAATATATAAAAGTTTTTTAAACACAAAGAAACAGTTACATTAATAGATGCAACTTTGCTGAATGACAAGTCACATAAGTTTTGGCTGATGTAGCAAGTGATGATAGCTTACTTGAGCAGCAAACAAGATAAAATGATATATGAGTATTTGTAAAAAAGAGATGCAACCAAAAATTAGAAAAAAGTAAAAAAATAATAATAATAAATTTTAACTCGTCATTTGTGATTTTATTTTATTTACTTAATTTTTGTCAAAATTTTGTGATTTATTTTTAACATCTTTTTTCAGACTTTATGTTTTTATTTAAAAAAAGTAAATAATAACTTACTTTTTTTTATTCAATCGTTTTTTTCAAATATTTTAAAAATTTTTACTTTTCATAGTGAACTTTTTACTCTGTTTTTATTACATAATCATTTCTTTTTTTCTTTATTTTTTTTAGATGTTATTTCTTCTAATAATTTTTAATTACCCAGCAAATTTTATATAGCAGAACTTCAGCAGATCTATATAAATATTTGAGCCATCCACTGTAGTTTTGCTCATCGGTTACTCAGTGGACTATTAATGACAGCATCCAAAAACAACTAGCCGATGACTAACCTATATTAAGATGTCAGAAATAACATATCACTACATGTCTACTACGTAAACGATGAGCAAAACTCCAATAAAAACTCAAAATGTCTATCTAGGTCCACTGCAAATTCACCAAAACAATGTTTGCTGGGTTTTTATCCTATGACTGAAATTAATTTTTATATTTAAATGAATGAAAAAGAAAAATTTTATTGATTTAAAAAAAAACAGTTTGTTAAAAACTAATAATCATTACAGTTCATTCTAAACTTTTGTTTTTTACAGCATTCCTTTCTCAAGAAATATTATGTTTCACTTTCTCTATTAAAGAATTTTCATCTATCTTAAATTCCTAAAAATATTTTATGCATTAAAAAAAAAAGTTTCATATTATCACAACCATCTTGATGATAACAAATGTGTTCTATAATCAGCCCAACAACACATTAACTCTAACAACAAATCTGACGGCTCAACAAAACCCTAGCCAAACACACTTTTTAAAAACATCTTGAAACTTGTATGTCTAACTTTACATGTATTATACTAAATAAATATTTCAAAATGTTGGATTAACCTCTCAGCCTGTTAAATAAGAAAGACAGTTGAAATTAAAAGATACCATATTCAACATGTTCTACAACGTCAATTGCTTTTCTAGCAGCAAAACCACCCATAGAAACATGATCTTCTGTTCCTGCTGATGTGGTGAGAGAATCTACGGAGGATGGGTGTGTAAGAACCTTATTCTCCGATACAAGAGCTGCAGCAGTACATTGGGCTATCATAAAACCTAAAATGTTGAATATAAAAAACAGAAGAGCTGAAAATAATAAATCAAAATTTCAAAAAATTAAATATAAAAATTTCAAATTTTTAAAAATAAATGCCATCACATTTTAAAATTGTTATATTATCAGAGATATAAAAAAGTTGCAATATTATACTTATAAAAAGAAAGCAAGGTGGCACCCTTACTTTAAGCATTGTAACCATATATAAAAAATATAAGTTTCTCCGTCACCTGAATTTAAACCTCCATTATTAACTAGAAAAGCTGGTAAATTGCTGTAATTTGGATTAATAAGACGCTCCAATCTTCGCTCACTCATGTTTGCAAGTTCGTGTATGCCAATTGCAAGGTAGTCAAGAACTTTTGCAGGGTATTCACCATGAAAGTTTCCACCTGATATTGTTTGACCTAGATCTGCAAATACCATCTTATCATGTTGAAGATATAAACTTTTTGTTTAATTGAAAAAAATAAAAATATAAACTAAAAAATATTCATATCTTATCATTACTTTCTTGCTATTTTATTTACCAATCAGTTTATTATTTTACCAATCAGTAATTATTTCAATAAAAACACTCTCTTTAACTTTTTATATTAAAAAAGAAACGAAAAGGATACAGGATTATCAGTAGCACTGTTGCATTCAACTGTTAAAACACTGTTAACAAATTCAACTGTATCATTAACAATACCATGAACCTAAGATGATAAAAAGAAAAAATTAATAAAAAAACAAACTAAAAAACTTGGAAAGATGAAAAATTAAAGAAAAGCATACAAAAAATTTTTTTTGACCTGACTTTGGCATTCTTGAATATTTTCGTAGATATTATAGTTGATGTTTTTAAAGTCTTTAAAAGATAGGCTTGTTGTTTTTAAAGGATAGACTTAACACCTTTCAATATAGCAGTAATGACCTTATAATTGATAAAATAATTTTTAAGAGTTTTGAGTTACAAAGAGGTATTTTTAGGTATAGAGGATTGTATTTTAGGAGCAAACTTTAAAGGTTTTACAAGATAAACTTGTGAAGTTATCAACCATGAAATTTTGAGAGGATGGTTGATAAAAATAAAATTTAAATAATCTAAAATCTCGTTTCCAACAACATAATAAATTAATAAGTGTTTCACTATAAATCATTAATTACTTAAAATACGTAAATACATATTTAACTCACTTTGTTACATAATTTAGTTTATAACTACTTGAGTTACTATATATTACCCTCTCTTCTTTTGGATAGCATTTAACGTAAGTAATGGTTGCCTGTAGTCTTGCTGGAAGTTATTATGTTAAAAAAACTAGTAATAATCGTTTTTTTATAAAGTATAACAATAAAATTCTATTAATGTTAATGTTAATTAAATTACACTCAAAAAGAAACTTTTCCTAAAAAACTTAATTAACATTTTAAAAGTTGATCTAGAAACAAATTGCAAAACCTTTTTAGTTTTTTCATATGCTCTCAACTTTTTATTTGGTTCTATTTAATAAAATAATAATATGGGAAAACTTTGATTTTTTGATATTCTGATGATGTTCAGGGATTACTCAGCACAATTTTTCCAAGTTTCCAAGGTTGCTATATCATATACTTTTAATATTTTATCATTTAACTCTTTTGTTTAACTAATTATGTTATGAGTCATTATGCATAATACGCATTGTTATTATATATATATTTTTAATTTAATGTTCTCACTAGTTGGCTGACATTATGAACATACACTGTAATTTTGCTTGATCCAGTTATTGCATTAGTATTATACTACTGCAAAAACTATTTTATCATCCTGTAATTACAAATCAGTCATTGACTTAAATGAAAACTCTTTAATCTTTTATAAGGCAGCTATTTTTAAAGTTAGATTGAATTAAATGGAGACTTAAAATCAATATGAAATATGGTTTATTGGTAGAGATGCAGCTGTGATTACAAGTTGCTAATCTAAAAGTCAAGTCTTACAAATTTAAAAAAAAAAAATAAAAACAATATAAGAGCAAGTGCAGACCTTGTGGCAGGTCAGGTTCAAGACTTTTGGAAAAGAACTAGTATTCTAACAAAGCAGCATTATCATGTTCCAAAACACGTTGAAAAATATGGAAAGCTAAAAAAGATTAAAGGCCCTTATGATATTGCCCATCTTGTGATCTTTCAATATTTAAAAAAAGATCACAAGATGTTTCTTTTACTACAAAGAGAAGAAAGAAAAGAATCAGTTTTTAATTTTAGCTAAGTTCTGTTGATAATTAATTATACAAACAAGGACAACATTTTTTAGAAAGTAAAATTAGAAACAAAAGAGCTAAAAGAAGAGAGGAAGAAATATGTTTGACAATCACAGAATAAGAGTCAAACTCTTTTTATGCTTCTTATGATGACTTTATTCCATGATAAGCTAAAAAACTCAGAAAAGAAACAGAAAAAATGAAAATAATTTCTCGACCATTTTATTAAGTTTGTGCGTGTGTGTGGAGTGCGTGCGTGCGTGTGTTGATTATGAGGTTTGAATATAATTTTTTTTAAGAAAAAAATCAGTTAATTACTAAAATTTGCAGAATGTCTTGAAGCTATTTAGAATATGGCTTTAAAATTTGAATTAAAATATTTTTTGCTTAGGTGACATAAGTTTTTATGTTTCACTAATATTTTGACCTGCTTTCTCAAAAAAGCCCAGTTTTTATTTCAACACTAATAAGCTAAATCTAAAAATTATATAGCTTATAGTCAGACCATGCATGGATCTAATAGGACTAGAACATTTATTGTTAAGTTTTGTTTCACTATTTAAGTTGGTTAAAAAATGCCTCAGTAGCAACGCATTTTTATGGAGTTGACACATAAACCAAACAAGTTTTTTTTCTAATTTTATTTCTATATAATTGATGACTATATCCTACAAACAAGTGTTTTCATTTGTAGAGTCTCCACCAACAATAAAGGCTCGTCAATGCCTCTTTCAGTCAACCATTCAACAATTTTATTTAATCTCTGTATGTTTAACAAATATTGATACTTTCTCGAAAAAAAAGTGAAATAAATATTTTTTTCCGGGTTATATACAAACAGAGTAACTCGCAGTTACTGAAAATTTTGCATTTTTGCATCAATTAAAGTAACATCCCTGTCATAATTTTTAAAAACTTTTTGTCGATATTTTCTTAGTAATCTTTTGAAGTTTTTATTATTAACTTTTCTAATTTTAACTTTAAGGGTTAGGGTTTTGGGAATAAGTTGCCACTTATTGCTGCATATATATATATATATATATATTTTTATAAATATAAATATAAATATAAATATATATATATATATATATATATATATATATATATATATATATATAAATATATATATATGTATGTATATATATATATATATATATATATATATATATATATATATATATATATATATATATATATATATATATATATATATATATATATATACATATATATATACATGTATATATATATATATATATATATATATATATATATATATATATATAAACATCTATATATATATATATATATATATATATATATATATATATATATATATATATATATATATATATATATAAATATATATATATATATATATATATATATATATATATATATATATATATATATATATATATATATATATATATATATATATATATATATTACCTTATATCTGACTCATTACCAACTAGGCTGCAAGGACCCTTAACTTAAATCTTAACTTAGAAGTTACTTGAAAAAACAAATAGAGTAAAAAATCAAAAACTAATTTGTAAAGGTAGAGAATGAAATCAGCAGTAAGATAATGGCAAATTTGATAAAAAGATGCAACCTTAACTTAGCAATTAATTATTTAAAAGGTTTGCGTGAAAGATTAGTAGTAAATGATAATCCAAGAGGACATAAACAAGAAGACTCAATGAGATAGTTCCCATTTAATAATATAGGAATGCTGACACTTATATCAATATTCTTTTATATATATATATATATATATATATATATATATATATATATATATATATATATATATATATATATATATATATATATATATATATATATATATATATATTCATTTCTGACGAGTCTTTATTGATGAAACACAGTGTTAAATGAGAAAAAATTTTGCTAAGTGATTTTCTACTAATTTGTAATTGCTCTGTTTTTTTAAGAATATTGAGCACTCTTTTTGTAAAATACGTTTTAAATTGTTTAAATATATACATATATATATATATATATATATATATATATATATATATATATATATATATATATATATATATAATTATATATATATATATATATATATATACACATATATAAGATATATATGTACATATGTATATATATATATATATATATATATATATATATATATATATATATATATATATGTACATATATATATATATATATATATATATATATATATATATATATATATATATATATATATATATATAATATATATATATATATATATATATATATATATATATATATAGTCAGATCAATTTTAAGTGCTACTGTTAACATGCAATTCAACTACGACATAATTTACACGCTGCCTTGGGGTTCTTTGTTTAGTAAAGGCTAGAGATAGTATCTCCATAAAGTAATCAACTTGCATGCACTTAACATCTCATATTTTAAATGCGTCCATCTACTGCCTTATAGACAGCCTCCTATGTAGAGACCTAAGGGGTTAATATATTCTCTCTGCTTTTCCAGCCTTGCATCTGTTTTTCCCATCTTCATTTATTAGGTCGTTGCATAAGTAATTTCAATTTTTTGTTTTTAGTTTAGGATGTTGAATGCTTGGATGTTGAATGCTTGGTTTTGCTTGTGTTTCTGTTTTTATGAAAAGGCAACTCATTTATTATCCCCTAATAAGGTTTCAGATCTAAAACTCAATTTTATGGTTGTAAAGCCGGCAAGTAGTCAGCTTTTCCAAACTCTGTGGTAGCTCTTAGAGTAGTTAATTCTATCTATAGCTGAAAAATGTTAAAGTATAAATAGTGCCATGCTGGGCATGAATGGCGTCCCTGTTCGCACTTTTAGTGTGCATTGTCAATGCCAAATTTAGAGCACTATGTTACGGTTTAGAGTTAATTAACAGCAACTGCTTGGGCTGTTAAACAGTGTATTGAGAACGTTCTATGCTTTGAGTAAATTTCTTTAACAAATTTAAAAATTAATAAAGTACCGAAACAAATTGATCACTGAAAAATATTATCATTCTTTTGATTGCCTTTCGTTTTGTTCTATATGCTCTCCTATATCATCAGACTAAACTCTTTTTGACGTGATTTCTGATCTTATTGATTAAGTCCTCTCTATTTATCCATCAGCAAATACTATTGTTATCGGTGACTTTAATGCGCATCAAACTGAATGGCTTGGCTCTAGTGGCAGTGACTATGCTGGCGTTAAAGCCCATAACATTTTTCTCTCAATCTCTAACTCAAATAGTCAACTTTTTGACTCGCTTCTAAGTTGCTTCTGATCTCAGTTTGAGCTCTCTAAAACTATTATCATATTATTTTTTATTATCTGAATCCCACTATCGTTGCACCTCTTACAACTACGTTGAAGCAGACTAGGACTGTTTCCGTGATATTCTTTGTAATGGCCATTGGGTAGAAATATTTCTTCTTCCTGCTGACAAATGCGCTTCCTACAGAAATTTGGAGATTCAGGCTGGTATAGTATCTTTAAATTCCCCTTAACTATTCCAGGTCAAGCCTCACCCTTCTCCATAGTTTTTCTAACATTGTGTTGCTGCAACTTCCAATCGAAACCATTACTTCCATATCAATCAGCAAAACAATTCTATAGAAAACAGACGTCTGTTTATTACTGCTAGGAAACGTTGTAAAAAGGTTTTGTCTAACACCAAAACCCGCTATTCTCAGGTCATGAAAAGCTATTCTCAGGTCATCACAAAAGTTAGAATGTTGTGACTTCTGAAGAACCTTTAACAGTATAAATATTAAAGGGAAGTCAGTTATTTCACCTCTCTTGTATGGTTAAGACTTTGTCACCTTCCTAAAAAAAAAGGCTGAAATGTTTGCTAAAAACTTTACATCAATTTCATCTTATGATTCCACTAGTTGCATTCTACCTGGTACAGCCGTCAAACAAGTGCATCCATTGATTGGCATTCGTATCGCTCCAGCTTCTGTACCAAAAGTGATTTCCTGCTTATACTCTTCTACAGCTTGTGGACCAGACAATATACCTGTTATACTCTTGCAGAAGTATTTTTCAGAGTTGTCTTCTATACTCTTAAAACCTTTTAACAAATGCATATCAGAGTCTTGTTTTTCAGCCTGCTTAAAAGCAGCATCTGTTATCCCTACTTTTAAAAATTCTGGAAAGCGATCTTACTTGTCTAACTACCGTCCATTTAGTCTTCTTCATATCATAAACAAAGCTTTTGGTTTATTATTTAAATAACACCTAATTTCTTGAATCTAATTAGTTACTTTCTGATCATCAATATGGCGTTCGATCTTCTTGTTCTATAGTAATGACCGATTGTTTTTACCGTGCATTAGATAAAGGTGAGAAGTTAAAGGCCATCGCCCTTAAAATTTCCAAAGTTTTTGATAAAATTTGGCATGCTGGTCTTCTCTCTATGCTTTATTTTTATAGTGTTTCTAGAAACATCTTTAAGATTATTGAATCTTTACTTGATATGATAAGAAGCTAACACTCTCTGATTGCTTAGAGGGGGTATTTGATCTCTTAAAGGATCTCATTTCTGCTACAGCATGGGGCTCACAGTGTCTAGTTAACGTTAGTTCAGATAAAGCTCAATTTTTTTCAGTTAATTATTATTGCAATAATTTATTTCTTCCTATATTTTTGAACGGTAATGTGTTTGATGAATCATCTACCATTCATTTTCTAGGATTAAATCTTTCTTTCAGTCTTTCTTAAAAACCGTTTATCAAATCAATTGCAAAATTAGCATCTGCTAAGGTTGCATCTCCTAATCGAGCTCAACACTCTCTCACTTCAAATTCTATTCTCTATCTCATTTAATCTCAAGTAAAACCTTGTATGGAATCCTGTTGTCATATCCGGGGTGGATCCGGATATGGCAACAGTATTCCATCCAAGGATTTTAGAGCAAGATAACGAATCTGACGTTCGTTATCTTGCTCTAAAATCTTTATCTTTTCTATTCCAGTAACTTCCAACTCTGATAGTGGTTTTCAGCAGCTTTTTTGGAAGCAAAGATGATAATTAAAAATATGGAAAATGTGAACATTAATTCATAAAATAATGTAAAATTTGATTAATGTTAAATGTGAAAAAATTTTTAAAACAAAATAAGTTATGCAAAAAACACTGTAACACTTCTAATATTTAATTGGCATTGTCATTCTTTAAAACTATTACATATTTTTCAACCGAAGATAAAACTCATCAACATCTTTGCTTAAATGTCATATAAAAATATGTAAGTAAAAGCTGTAATGCTTGTTATGTGGGTCGAATCACTCGACATTTGAGTAAATGAATTGAGGAACATTTAAAGTTACAAAATACTTCTCAAACAAATTATCATATTTATTCTAAAACGAGTTGCTTTAATGTTTCCAATAAACACTGTTTTTCAGTATTAGATTACGCCCAAACCTCACATCACATAAAAATCAAAGAAGCATTACACATTATGTTGAAAAAACCTAATTTTAATAAACAGGTTTTTAATAACGCGCTATTACTTTAAATCTAACTGACGTTTTCATTACTCTATTACGCTTGTATTACAATAATTATCTTCATTTTTCTTTACTTTATGACGTAGACACCTTCCATGTTTTCTTTTGTTTGACTTACGATTAAAATTAAATAAATGTTTGTTTTCACTATATATTAATTAGGTTTTGTATTTAACAGTTTTATACTTAAAAATGATTATTGTATAATTGAAACATGTTGTTGAAACTAAAAAAAAATTGAACGCTGTATTTTAAAAACGAGACGAGTCAGAAAATTAAAATTTGACAGTAGAGTGAAAAACGTTTTCCTGGAAAAAATTTTATTTATATTTTATCTAAAACATTTTTTCTTTTATATAAAAAAATCTTTATTTTATCAAAAAAATTTTATGTTTCCTAAAAAACAATTTTTTATTTAAATAACCTCACTTTTGAAATAAGTGTAACTTGTCACGTTTTCGGAATAAAGCCTTATAATAAATTATTATATTTATTAGACTTATTACAAAATTTATGCTTTTACATATGCTTTTACATTTTTTTTAAATTTATAAGTTAATTGAGCAAACATTAAGATTAAAGAAAAAATTGTTAGAGATAAATTAAATTAAAAAAATAAATCAAAAAGGTAACATTAGGAATAAAGAATAAGTATTTATACCATTTAAAAACTTGTTTTATAAAATGTAATATTATGTTTTTTAAAATAAATATAAATATACCTGAGGACAACATCTTAATGTATAAGCATCTTGCACTTTTCCACAGAATTTGTGACTCTCTGATAAATATTAGAATTACAATGTAATTTAAATGTTGTAAATAACAAACAATAATAAAGTAAAAGAATTTATTCATCATATAAAATATTATAAATATATAAACAGATATATATATATATATATATATATATATATATATATATATATATATATATATATATATATATATATATATATATATATATATATATATATATATATATGTATATATATATATATACATATATATATATATATATATATATATATATATATATATATATATATATATATATATATATCAGGCGCAGATCTTGGGTTTAGCCGTTGTGGCTAAGGCTACACCTTAAAAAAATCAACAAAATAAAAAATAATGTAATACTCCAACATACTTTTAAAGTAAAATTAATATAAATAAATAAGATAAGTTTTTTTTATTTTTTGTGTAAAATCGGCTTTAAAAGCGATTACTTGAAGTTAAAAAAAAACTAAAAATTAAAAAAAAGATCGGTCAAGATCGGTTTGTGGCAAAGCCACAAACGACCTGATTTTACAGCATAGGCTGACTAAATTTTTTTTTTTTAATGTAATAAATTTTTATTAGAAAGTCGTATGCCGTCAACACTCGTAGCTTGTGACTAGATTGCTTTATGCCTTATGGCTGTACTTATCACCCAGTCTTTTTATGCTTGCTATTTTCAAATAATCAACGCGCCTTTATTATATTCTTCGTAATTTGGTAATTATGGCGGATATGTTTTGAAATATTACTGTTTCAAATGTATTAATACTTCTCACATTCATAACATAAAATGTTGCGAAAAAAATTGTTAACAAAACCAAATGGTTTAAAAATCTCACCAGTTTAATTTCATCGTTAAATTTTTGGCTTGAAAATGCCCTGATATAAATGTTTTTATACCATATTTTAAAATTGATCAAGGTTTTGTAGCTTTAAGGCATATTTTTTTTAACTATGTTTTCACGAACTATATTTGTTATAAAAAGATAAAATGCTTTTTATAACTGTAATTATGTTTACTTGTATACAACTGTTTCTGTTCTTATTGTTATAAAATTCTTATAACATTTGATTAAAACTTTTTTTTATTAACGAGGTTAATACTCTTATAGTTTTACCCCAGAGCTAAATAATAAATTTTTTTTACCCTAACCCTAACCCTAACCCTGACCCTAACCCTAACCCTAACCCTGACAGAGCTACATAATAAATTTTTTTTATTGCTAAAAATGTAAATAATTAAACTATTAAATTTTTATTTCTTCAAAAAAAAATTTAATCTTTAAATTGAAGTTAATTTAAAAAGGATCTTATAACTTGATTCATTAGTCATATTCATATCGTCATTAGAATCAACTATAATACAATATAGAAGACTCTCATATAATATAAGATAGTCCTCAAAAAAAGTTAGAGAAAATTTTGAAACTACTTAATTTTGGAATTTATGCAGTTGATATTACCTTATAAGATCATTTAATATAGGCACCTAAAAATGACACATGTTTCTTAAACAACACAAAATCAACTTATGGAGTGTTTTAGTAAGGTTTTTGAGGAGATTGTTATTTCTGAAATCAATAAAAGCAAATACTATTCAATTTTAGCTGATAAAGCATTTGATTGTGGTTATCTTAAACAGATGTTTATGGTTATAAGGTATATAGACAATAACTATAATACTCGTAAAGATTTCTTAAGGTTTGTTAACTGTCCTTAATTATTTAAATGTGCCCTAAGTCAAAAATTGCAGGCATGTTTAAATAACTATCTTTCTGTTGGTAAAGGCAAAGCTAATTAATGTCTGTTGTACTTGGTTTAAAAACAATAAGTTCTAGGCATTTTTATTTAGCAAGACTCTTCACTGTTAATGTTTGAATTTTATTTCAATGTAATTTTAGTTTTAACAAAAATGTGATGGATTGAATTTTTTAAATTATAATTAGACTCCAAGACAAGCAATACGACATATCTCAAAATCCAGAATCTTGAAATTGACAAGTAAAAAAACACGGTTCAAGAAATTAAATTTATTATTGATTTATATTACTACAACTGGTTCAATATTGCTTTTGAAATAGCTACGGCTTTAAATGTAAAAGAAAACAAAAAACTAGAAAATGTGGAAAGCAAATCCCCGACGGGCATTTGTTTTTAAAAGTTGCGATCTAAATGTATTTTAAATGTCTTTTAAACGTCTATTAAACATTAATGTTTAAAAGACGTTTAAAAGACGTTTAAAACACATTTAGAACGTAACTTTTAAAAACAAATGCCCGTCGGGTCAATCATGATAATCACTCATCATCTCATTATTTTAAGCTTTCTACCTGTTTACATCTACTAGACCATCTTATTTATGATCTTAATCAAAATGATCTTTTTATTTGTATAAGATTTTAAATAGATGGCATGTTTGTTTATATGGGGTTTTTGCAGTTACAACCGCCATGTTAAGTTACCTGAAAACTAACTAAGATTGGCAAATTTACTTTCAGGAATTTCTGGATATCTATAGTTCCTATCTTTGCATCCAATCTCTATTCATGTAAAATTAGAATATGGAAGCCTTTTTAGAAAGATCAATCAAAACCCCCATCTAGTATTTCTTAAACAAAAGTCATGGCAATGACTAGTTTCCCCAACATTCTTGAATATTTTAAAGACTTAATTTTAGATACAATACCTAGATTGAGAACTTATCAAGTAGAGTGTTTAAAAGGTGATTGAATGGCCTAGCCCTAATGTCAATTTATACAGAAATGTTTCCAGTTAAAGACAGGTTAAATAATATTTTTTCAACTTCTGGGTAAAGATGTTTAAAGTTGCTATTTAAGGCTTAAACAATATGCCATGATTGAATAATAATTACTATCTCTTATATTTAAAATCATTTATTTTTAAAAAGTTTTTATAATATTCACTTAGAGCATCTTCTTTTTTTTTGTTTTAAATGTTTAATAAATAAATTTTAAAAAGCAACATACACCAAAATTCTCATCCTTTTTCCGAACACGAGTTCTTAACAACAACCGTCAATTTCAGTAAAACTGGGAGAGGACTAAGATACTGAAAATTAAATTGTTCTTTTTTAGAAATAGAAGTGCATAGGCAAAAAATTGAACTCTTAATTCAAGATATGCATACAAAAAAAATGGTCCTATAAGTCAATTTTAAAACGGAGTCAATAATTAAAACATAAAGTAAATAAAAAACATAAAATATAATAAAAATAAATAAAAAACATAAAATAAATAAAAAAAATAAGTCAATTTTAAAACGGTGGGATGACTGCAAACTTTTTCTTATGGTAGAATTACAACATATATCAATACAGGAAAGTGCGAAAAACAATAAACACATCAAAAGGATTGAAAACGAAATCCAGTGGAAGCGGCAAAATGCTAACCCGAATTTAGATAGCATCAAAGAAAAACGCGATGCTCTTTTCTTGCTCCAATTTCCCGGAACATTAATTCGCACGAAACAAAAACTAATCGAAGAAGGAGAAAAACCTTGAAAGTTTTTATATAATTTGGAAAAAACTCAACAGCGAAATAAGTCAATTACCGAAATTCACAAGAATAATGGTACTATAAAAAGTGAACCTAGTGAAATACTAAACTCCATCGTTGTATATTATAAAAACATTTACACCAAAACGAAATTATGCAAAGACTATGTCTTGCCACACATCACTAAACGTTTAAGTGATGATGAAAACTACATTTTAAATACCCGCCTAACCGACGTGGAACTAAAAAAAGCCTTTTTTAAATTTGATAACGGAAAATCTCCGGGCTGTGGCGGACTTTTATAAATTTTTTTGCCACATTTTAGAAAAAGATTTTGAAGAACTTGCTTATGAAATACTTTTTGTAGAAAAAAACACCAGCCACTCTATGAAAAAATCAATATATTCACTGATTCCCAAACAAGGAGATCTTGCTGAATTTAAAAACTGGAGGCCCATATCCTTAATCGGCGCTGATAACAAAATAATCACAAAAGCGCTGGCCCTAAGACTTGAAAAAGTAATGGGGAAAATTATATAACCAAACCAAATTTACATTTAGTCCGTGATCTAATAGATTACGCGGAATTAAAAAATCTACCCAGTTTTAATTTGTCAATCAAGAAAAGGCGTTTGACAAAGTCGATTGTGCGTTTCTGCTGCAGATTCACCAAAAATTTAATCTCGGAGAAAATTTTGTATCATTTGTTAACACCTTATATTCGGAAAATTCGGCATCTGATTTGAATTGCGGTTTCCTGTCAACCTCTTTCCCCACCGAAAGGGAGAGACAAGGCGACCCCCTCTTTTCTGTTGTATATTTTTGTTGCCGAAGCTCTCGCTTTGGTGAGCAGAGCAGATAACAGAATTGAAGCTGCAAAGCCTTGCACTTTGCCTCAAAACACTCTTTCAACTGAAAGAATGCGGAGAGGATAACACTCACGATTACTACATTTTTCAAAATACTGATTAGCAAGTTTACTTATAAATTTTACGAACCAAAACCAAAACTGGAACTTTTTGAAACAGAACAATACCCAAAACACTGGGACAACAAAGTGTCTCAGCATTACAAAACAACAACTGAAATATTAGGTAAAAACGGGTCCCTTTTTAACATCCCCTAAAATTAACAAAAAATATTTATTTAGACGTGGCAAAAAACAAAAAGACAGCAGAACTTTTCTGGAACGGTTCAACAAAAACAACAATGTCGTGGGCCCAAATGAAGAAAAAAAATTTACCTCCCACGCATGCAGACCGACACAAATTATCCTCTTTTGATTTCAACACAACAGTTTACTTTCTGCGGCCTTGCTGGCCAAAAAAACAAGGTAATAGATTGTTAAAATTACCAAATGCAAAACGTGTGGCGAAATTGAGGACAACATTCATATCTTTGCTTACTGTCCTCTGTTGAAATATGGAAGTACTTTAAACATGTATGTAACTCCTTGACATCTCAAAACAATTTTTCTCCTATA